TTCGGTTCCCGGTACCGGAGAAAAACCAAAAAAAAAAAAAAAAAAGAGTTGCATTGAAATAAGCCAGGATGGATGTAGTGGAACATTTAACTTACAGTTTCTGCCTTGGTCTCATCTGCTAGCTTGTGAGATATGTACACAGAGGACAAAGTTCTCACTTTAACACAGGCTTAAACAGAAACAACCAGTGATAACCCTTCTCCCTTCTCCTAATCTTTTCCAAATACAATATAACAATACCTCCCTCTCAAGGACAGCATGCAGCGTGTTCGCTGATAGCAGAACAGGGGCACTCAAGACTGCAAGGGTTGGGAACAAGTAACTAACTCATTCCAGTCCCTGTAGAGAGTGAGAGTATTGTTCATTGTGTCTCTTGCTGAATACCTGCTGTACCAGCCAACTGTACACAAGCCAAAGCCTGCAAGATAAAGGAAGCTGCAAGGCCACCAGCCAGCAGGTCAGTGGATGCAGGAAATTCAATATATACATGCATGTAAGTACATTCAGGAAATAAAGGTGGAGAATCCCGCCATAGAACATAGAGGTAGTCTGCCCTTATTTCAGTGGTTAGATCGGTCATTACATGGTGCAGATCTACAACCCATTATTTGGTAGTACTTTTTGAAATTTCGCATTCAACTCTTTCCATATATAAGTTCATAAATTAAAGTGCATAATTAATGAAAAATTAACCACCCAATTTATTTCTCAAGAAAGTCAATGATAAATGTGTAATGTGTATAAAACATTTGCGAACATTTATCATCCATTCTCAGGAAACAGTGATGATACCAACCACATAAAAACCAGAAAACAAACATCTTCTGAGAAAAGAGAAAACAACAGTATCTACTTCCAAGGTTTGTAGTTACTTTAAGAAGACCATGCACAAAGACGATGATTTCAGGAAGTGTTGCTGCAGAGGATAGTTACATATTCTGTGAATCATTTCTGTTTAGATCAAATGACTTTCTCAAAAATTCATTTCCTCATTTTCCATTTCAAACTTCCTTGCACATGACAAAAAATGAAGCAATACTTTTAATGTGTAGTTCTATCTGCCAAACTTTACAAATAGTTCAGTGATGCCACTTACAAAGCCATACCATTAGATGCTCGGGTTAGAAAAGCAGCTCTATTAGTCAGGGTCTATAGTCTGCTTGCCATAAAAGCAGAACCACCGGAATGAATGTATATACATGTCTAGATATATCTATTTTGAGAGAGAGAGAGAGAGAGAGAGAGAGAGAGAGAGAGAGAAAGAGAGAGAGAGAAAGAGAGAGAGAGATTTTTAAATTTGGCTTACACGGTTGTGGAGTCTGGGTGAGTCCAAAGTTGGATGGAGTAGTCAGGCAGACTGGGAACTTAGGGAGGTGTCGAAGTTCCAATCCAAAGACAGTCTGCTGGAAGAATTTCTTCTAACTCAAGGAAGGTCAGTCTTTGTACTATTAAGGCTATCTGCTGATGAGACCCACCCACATTCTGGAGGGTAATCTGCTTTCATCAAAGTCCACTGATTTAAATGTTAATCTCATCCCAAAACACACTTTCTCAGAAACATCCAGAATAATGTTTGACCAACTATTTAGGCACCAGTGGTCAGTCAAATTGACACACAAAATTAATCATTACATTGGTTAGTTCCAATAATAGTTCAATTTTCTACGCAATGCATGGCATCAATGCTACAGAAATTTATTCTGGTGAAAGCAAAACTTCTGACATTATTGAGAAAGCTGTTGTCAATTCAATTTTAAAATTCAGCAATTAGGGTATTTTTGTGGTGTTTTTTTTCAGGAAAGTATCAATTTTGGAGGAGCACAGAAGCATGGTGAAAACATAGTTGTTAATCAAGAAACTTGTGAAGTGGGAACATAGTTGGAATTGACTGTGGTGCAAAAATAATTCGTAATTATGTTCAAACAAACAGGTGATAAAATTGTTTCTGGGAAGCAGGGATGGAGAAAAAAATCCTTTTTCTTTTTTAGTTTTGCTGGGTGTCAAACCTAGGGCCTTACACATGCTGGGCAAGTGCTCTATCACTGACTTGTATCCTTAACCTTAGAGGAGATCATTTTTTAACAAGACATGGCAAAATATTTTCTGTAGAATCATGAAAAATTAGTAATCATCTCTTAATGTCATATTTAGTTGGAAAACAAATTTTTCCAGTACTACATTTCAATTTTAAATGTAATGTCTGATTTCACTAAAACATTTCATTTATGACCCAGATTTTCAGTTACCAAAAAAAAAAAAAGCATTACATTTTGCAAATTGCACTCTGTTGACTGCTTTCCAATTTAAGCACAGTAAAAACTCCCAAGTTGTCACACAGAATGACAAGACTGTAGTAATAGTACTGGTTATTTGTCAGTACAAATCATCTGGTTACAATCACTTGGTTGCCAGTCATCTGGTTATCACGGTTTATGTCGAATCTACTATTATGCTACATGATTATCTAATTCTACAAGATTTAAAGAAAGGAAAGGCAGCCCGGAAGCCAGCTGGAAGATTCTGATTTTTTTTTTTTTTTGTCTTTATGAGTCAGGGTCTCGCTATTCAGTCCAGACCAGACTTGAGCTCACTTTGTAGCCCAGGCTGGTCTTGAACTCGCAATGATCCTCCTGCCTCAGCCTCTTGAGTGCTGGGATTACAGGCGTGTGCCACCCAGCTGGACTTCTGAATAGTTGAGTACCTTATTTATAAACAGATGTGAGTAGCTGAGTCCGTATGTGTCAGCAACTAAATACATAAACTATGGGGCTGGGGATTTAACTCAGCGGCAAAGTGCCTGCCTGGCAAGCAAAAGGTCGTGAGTTCGGTTCCCGGTACCGGAGAAAAACCAAAAAAAAATTAATAAATAAATAAAAAAAAATAAAAATAAATAAATACATAAACTACAATGTTTAAGAGCGTAAGTAATATGAAAATTTGCTAATATGAACTTCAACGTCTATTCCAAATAGAAATACATTCGTGTATCTACCAAAACATATGTTTCAAATGTTTATTTCAGCCCAAACCTCCATGGAAGCTGCCCAAATGTCCATTAAGACGAAAATGGGTAAGAAGTCTTACAGGCTAGAAAGATAAGTAGTGAAAAACTGTTGAAGGCAAAAATATGAAGCACATGACATTGGTATTATCATGTATCAAACCAAGTGTTCTGCAAGACATTTTGCATACATTTCGTCTCACCTGCACCATGCCCTGTGATGGAGATATATCTTCACTTGACATGTGACAAAAGGGAAGTATAGCATTCAAGGATCTTGCCTCAAGTCACAGTGATAACTCGAGATTTGAATTCAAATCTTTCTCCATTTAAAACCCATGTGTAAAAAAAAAAAAAAAAAACCCATGTGTACGTTCTCCATTATAGCCTCTTGCTGGGGATATAGCTCAGCAGCACAAGCACTTGCTGGCAAGTGCAGGGTCCTGAGTTCGATTTCCAGTACCAAAAATAAAACCCGTTATAGCCTCTTGCCGCTCCATGACAGAGAATGTATAAAAATTAGGTAAGTATGTTCACACATTCATACACACTGAAATTATAACAGCTAGTGTTTCCTGAGCACCTACTATGTGGCAAGTACCACTGCTGGTGCTTTACATAAATCATCCTTTACAGCCCTCATACTAACCTTTCACAGCAGAAATTATTCTCATTTTCTTTATATTTTTTGAGCTGTTGCCCGGACTGACCCAAAACTGCTGGTCTCAAGCGATCCTTATGCCTCAGCCTCCCAAGCAGCTGGAAGTACAAACTTGCACCCTAGCGCCCAGCTGGGAGTGACTGAAGTTCAGCGGAGTGCAAGGACGTGGCTAGTTGCCGGAATCTCTACCACAGAACCCTCAGAACCCTTACAAAGTGGGGAGCCGCGGGCTGCATGGGGGCGGGGCACTGCGGTGGGTGCTGGCGCTCAGATGAGAACAGGAGGAATGTATCGCTAGAAACAACTGTTTGAGAGTAAGGAGCGGCAGTTCTGGCCCAATCCCACACGGAATTTGTGAAGGCAAAAATAAAGGTCAGCAATAGCGACAGTTCCCATTTATTACATGTGCTCTTCTCGGATTTGTACCCGCATCCGGCTGCCTGTAGAGCTCCAGGTCTCAACTCTCACAACCACAGTGTGGTGCAAGGTCCTGAGAAGGGGACGCCTGGCTCCCAGGGTCACAGGGTGACTGGAGCCTGAAGAACCGGCTTCTAGTTTAGGGTCCCAGGAAAAAAGCAGGTGCAGGTGGGTTTGGTAATTTGAGAGCCCGCCGAACGGAGGCGGAGGTACACAGGGACCGAGGCTGCACTGGAAGCCTCCCTCCTTCCGGAAGAAAACTCCCCAGGCCGCCTCCGCAGCCGGGCCGCGGGGGCGGCAGGAGCACGCGGGAGAGCGCGGCGCCGGTGAGGGCGTGGCCT